ACAATATGCTCAGGCTGTATGTAAAATTCTGGGGTATGTGCAATCTGGGGAGAAGAGGACCAGCAGGCCTCCCATGTCCAAGGGCACCATGTCTCCAAACATATGAAAGACTCCAAAGCAAATCATCATGATCACAGAAACCGCCACGTTTGAAGTGCTGATCACGTGAGAAAAGCAAGGGGATAAGAAAGGGTCACCTGTCTGAAAGGACTGTCGAGAAGATGAACAAAGGATATTTGTAAAGCACTTAGGCAAGAGGCAGGGGCCAGTGAGGCCCAGGCTTTAGCTTTATGTTACAGTTGCAATTATTACTATTATCCATTAGTCATTAGTCATCACAAAAACTTTGAGATCTGTGTTATTATCAATCCCACTTTATAGAACAGGAAATAATAGCTTCAAAAGGTTACAAAATTAGCTCAAGGCCACAGAGTAGCAGAGAAGGAACGCCTACTTGACCTGTCTGGGTCCCAAGCCCAGGTTGGCCCTCAGTCTTGAAGGCAGGAGGAGGCTGGGAGGCCCCAGATGACCCCAGGCCTGAGATCAGCCAGGGGAGGAGAGAGAACACAGGACTTTGTGCTGAAAAGGCAAGCACGCCTTGCTAACTTTACACCTCCCCTAATTAACAACAGAAAGTCAAACTGCTTAAAATAAGAATGATTTAAAAAAGAAAACCACCCCCTGTGGTGGGCATTGCTAGGCTCCAAAGTGAGCCAGTGTCTAGGAGTACAGTGAGTTCAAGTTCAGGGAGCAAAGCAGTGGCTGTCTCAGTGCCTGCTGGCTGAGCTCCAAGCAGTGTTTCTCCTTTCAAACTAACACATAACTCTGCTGAACATACCAGTTGAAAGCCAAAAAGATACCCCTAGGTTGCTATGGCAATGCTAAACAGACAAAACATTTTAACCAGCTCTGACGCACATACACAAACTTATTTAAGGGCCAAATGGATGAATTTGGTGGGGGAAGAGGGGTGAGAGCAGGGAGTGTTGTTTCTACAGCTCCATCTTCAAGGATTTGGCCCCAAAAGCATCTGGGTGGGACCAAAGCAGGGCAAAGGATTCCATAAAGCAGAGAGGAGGATGGGCTTAACAGGGACAGGGACAGGGAAGAGAAGGGACTGCCAGCATCTCTGCTTTTGGCCACAGTCACAGTCTCACTTTCCAAAGGCCAAGAGAGGGTTAAATAGATTCCAAGGGTCTTCTCCCTGGAGACAGCCCCCCACCATCCAACACCTGGCTGTGGGAATTGTCACGCTGGCCCACAGCAGAGTTGAGGGTCAGATGCACTCTGAGTATTGAAGCACCTTTCTAGATTCATGTCTTTCAAGATTCACCCCTTCGAATTCATTCTTCTTTTTTTTATTATTTTATATATATTTTACATCATTCTTCATTTTTGTACAATGTAGGCTTTCTCCTCTCAGATACCCTCCCAACAGGTAGATGTCCCAAGTTCTCATCTATCCACAGGAGCGGATGATCATGAGTAAGTATTTTCCTTCAGTAAACTTTGCTCTAGGGTCGCCAAGATGGGCGTTGCTCCCTGAGATGTCACAACCTGGGCAGTGATGATGAATGAAGACTTGTCCCTGGTCTGAGGACACCACTGGTCCTTTAGAGTCTCTCCGACTCTGAGCTCTTCCATGCCTCCCTCTTCACCTCAGACATACAGAGCAAAAGGTTGTAGCTGCTGAGAGGCTAGAAGAGTCTCACCAGACACAGCTTATGGTACTTCAGTGGATGCAATAAACAAATGCTGTAAAACCCTCCTCTGAAGGACTTATGAGAACCTCAGGTAACCTAAATTTCCAGTGATAGGAATTGCCCGTCATCCATCATCCCCTTGGGGTGAATCCTCTTGTCTTTCAAGATTTACCCCTTAGAATTTCTTCATATTATTTTTTATATTTTTACATCATTCTTCATTTTTGTACAATGTATGCTTTCTTCTCTCAGATGTAGTCCCTGTGAAATTCCCACCACCAATTCACCTGTGTACCATCACCATAGTCCCTTGAGCTCTTCCCACCCCTGTTTTGATCCTCTTAGAAGTTATTCTTAAACCTCCCAGGATGAAAGGGATCCCTATGTGAACAGATGTCTGTGGAAAGAAAGTCACCATTATATTATTTTTACTGTGCACTGGTCTCCTGCCCATTCATCATGGGTTCCTTGAGACACAGGAATCACATATTGTTCACCTGTATTCACCTGGCCTAGTACAGTGCCTGGCATTAGTTGGTACTCTGAATGTTTGCTGATTGACAGACTAAAATTATGCAATGCTATGCCCTCATTTGTGCCTGATGTCCCTGGAAGTCTCTAGTTGATATGCTCCAGGTGTCTGTTTTCACTTCCCATGCTGGGGAGAGGGTGTGGGAGAGGGAGCAGGACTTGAAGCCCAGCTGGAAGTTGGGAGTTAGAGAAGCGGAGAATGGAGCTGCCCAGCAGCCTAGTGGGTCAGGAGAGTAAGTGAAGGGGTGAGGGCAAGAAATGCTCTCTTTCTTAGGGCACATCTCTCCTCCTACCTACAGCAGCAAAACCCACTTTCTACCCCCCAATTTGCCCCTTGAAAACTGAAAAAGCACCCATTCCCCTCCTGCTTGGAGACAAAATTGATTTTCTTCGACGCCATTATTAAAGACCCAGGAAGATCCTCTGTTTTGGGGGGGAATGAGCATACTAACTCTGTCCTGATTATTTTCAGAAGAGTCACAGACACCCTCCCAACAGGTAGATGTCCCAAGTTTTCATCTCATTGAATGTCATCTTCCTTTGCCAGTATGATACTCTCCATACCTTCTTTCCCTCCGGTGTTCAAACAAGAAAGAGTTAGCAAACAACAACAAATCTTTATACTGTCCACCTTAACTAAAGCCTAATTGGCAGGTTAACCTTCTAGGAATCTATAAATGGTGGTTCATCTACTATGTCATATTCCCAAATTATGTTTCCTGTAAGTAGAAAAGTTTTGACTATTTGTATGCTCACATATGTACACTGGTGTCCCAGTTAGTAAGAACATCACAAATGCTTGTCTATAAGAAGCACCTTCTGAGTGGGCGGCCCTGGTGAGTCCTATCACAGGGATGTGTCATTGCTTTGTGATGTATGGGAAAGGACAATGGCTCTGTTTTCTTATCACCATTCTCATTTCCTGCAGATTGGACGACTATGGTGGAGGTTCTCACATTGTCCTGGACTCTCAGCCTGTGTACTGAACTATTCTCTGCTGTATTTACCACCAGATCATGTCTGTCTCTAACCCTAATCTGGAACTAATTATCACAGACAGTTACAGAATTTTATATTCCTGTGTTCCAAGAACAACAACAAAAAAGTCCATGAAAAAAAAAGAGGACTTCCATAATTGAGTTATGGTGAAACCACAAAACTGCATTAGGGCTGCAGTAGTATTTATAAATAAATGTGCACATAGAAGTAAACTTACACAGAAAAAAATCACGGTAGTGGTATTCTAACCTTGAAAGTGGACTTTAACAACACATAACACCTCCAACAGAAAAAGCAAAAAACACAAATGCACCTAACTGAATACAGGGTTCGCTACCTTTCAATGTCTGTTCCATGCATGCATTATAATGGACTGGGACAAATACCTTGACAACTATGCCAGCAGGCAACACTCCATCGCTTTTATGTTAAGATATGACTGCATGTGTAAAATGCTAGCACTAAAATTAAGTCTTCTATCTTCCAAATTTTCTCAATTATTAATACACTAGACAGCTGCTATAGCCTTAGCAAAAATAGCAGCCAAGCATTTCAGCCTTGAAAAGTCTGTGTGGGGCTTTCCTACATAAGGAGCAGTTCTCTCCAGATCAAACAGAAAGAAACAAAATCTCCAGTGGAACAACAAAAAAGGAGAAATTTGTCTCAGAATCTCAACTGAAAACTGTTTCTCCCCCAGTGCACACACACACACATTCCTTGTTATCATAAAAAACACTTTCGGTGCAACAGAAAAAAGTTAACTGTGAAAGGCTGCTTATCTGTCCAATTCATTAGGATAACAAACAACTCAGAAAATTAAACAGTAAACCCAAGGAATTCCAATCACTTTGATATATTCTGAATGAGATGGTCAAATTGTGCCTATGCAAAGGGTGTGGGTGGGATTAGAAAGACAAATTATGTCTTCAGTTTTCTAGAAGCAAATTAATGTCCAGCAAAAACTGTCTTCTTGAGTTTCCACCTTCATGTTTTAAACAGTGTCATTTTAACAGACTGCTCATATACATTCTTTGTGTAAATATTCATGCCTGGAAAGCATGTTGAAGGGAAAAATTAAGAACTCAGAGAAAGAGCATCCCAACTGAATGTTTTCTGACCTAACAGTGATCATGACTTTGAACTCAAAGATTGTGTGCAGGACACAAAAGAACAGATTTTAGAAGATTAATTTTATTTCTTTTTTATAGAAGGGATCATATCAGAGCATCAGGGCATCACATCAGAGAAAATATTACTCGTCGAGGTTACCCTAATAATGGTCTGGGTGTCATGGTATGTTTCACATCTCCGGTCACAGTTCTGATTTCACATCATTCCAGCCATGCAAGGCAGCCAGACCACATGTCTGGATTTCTGAGTTGTAAGGTACCATCCCTTCATCTGTGCCTCCGCACCGTACACCAACAGATATCACTGTGGTTCTTTGAGGAAGCCAAACAAGTCATAACAATCCAAGTTCTAAACAAGTATATGTTTATACCAGTTCTGCAAAATTTGTTTCTAAGAGCAAGGGCCGTATTTCATTTTTGCTGTCTCACAATCCACGTAAAACTCACAGCCATGTTTCAGTAAATGCCAACAAATGTCAGAGGAGCAGACCACAGCTACTTGGAAATAGCTGTTAGTTTATTAATATAATCCCCTAGAGGGAAGCTTCTGGTGTGAATGTTTTCATGATGGTCAATATCATCGAGGGGCAGTACTTACTAACAAAACACACACACTCACACCCCATGCACTACTTACCATTTGTGATCTGTTCTTTGGACAGCCATTGATGTCTTCAATCTTTTCATTTGCTGAAAAAGGAAATGCAAATCAGAGAAAGAATCACCACAAACACTTTGAATAGCCATGTTCGGGACACTTGAAGCCAACCAAGTCCTAAGATCCGTACTGGGTTTTGTCCAATCAAAGCAGGCATGTGAAATGCTGAGACGCATCTAGCAAGCTTCAGGATTTACTCATCGAGTGTCTTCCAGGGACAGCTGGGACAAGGTCGTCGTCATTTAAAAGACAACTGCATTACACAGTCTTGGAGTGATGGGGCAGTGTGGAAGCATTTGGAGTCTGGGAAATAGACTAAGCTGTGGCTATGCCTTAGACTCTCAGACAGACCAAGCATAACCTCAGCACAAAAGCTGGGCTGATGGCTCAAGATGGACCAGTCCGGCTACAACTAGCTTGGGACAAAAGCCACAGATGATATCATCTCATTTCAACTTTAGGCAGGAAAACTACTATTACTTTTGTTTGTCCTAATTCTATTACCCAAGTGGAGGCAAGTGGGTAAAATAGAAGGTTAAGACTGAAAAGTGGTTTGTAGGCCACACAGTAATCCTAATTAAATGTGGAACATAAGTTTCAAGTCATAATAGCACCTAGCTACTTAGAGAAATAGAAATAGAGATAGAAAGAGGCTTTACTGAATTAACTGGAACTCAAACCAATAACAAGGAAGAAAGAGCCAGCCTCCCATGGCAAATGCACTTCTTCATAAGAGTGGAGAAATCCATGCAAGTCATAGCCCATGATGTCCACAGAGGGTCCAAGCTTGCTACTGCAGCAGCACTAGAAAGGCAGCATGTGTAGTGACTAGGCCATTGGCTTTGGAGGCAAATAATCCAGTTTGAATGCTAGCTCAACAGCTTCTTAGCTGTGTGATCGTAACCATGTTACTCAACCTCTCTGAGTCTGTTTCTTAACTATATATGGAGTGAATATTACCTACTTCACTGGAGGAGTCTTGAGACTACAATATATCATGCCAGTAAAATGCTTATTCGTGCAGTGCCCAAAATACAGTGAGTGTCCTAAAAATGGTAATTAACATTAGCCCACTAGTATACATTATCACCTATGTTACATATATAGTCTTTTTTTGCTGTGTCCATTTGCGTTAGGCCCAGAAACTCAGGACTCCATAGCAAAGAACTAAGGATTTTCCTCCTCTGCTAAGTCTTTTAAAAATATATATATATTATTTATTTATGCATACAAGAGCTTTAACGTAGTCCAGAGGTGCAGGGGGCGGTGGGTCAGGGGCGATGAAGAGTGAGAGGATTCACCAGAGACAGAGTGGGGAGCAGAACAGGAGGACTGACTGAGATACACTGCTGAGGGGAACAGTGGGGCAGACAGGAAATGTTTGCTGTGCCATGTGGGTTGCCTCCCTGGCCAGGAATAGAACTCCTGCTGCAGTGACTGTGACTAACTTCTAGTGCTGAGACTTAACCCCTTGCACCACCAGGGAGGCCCTCCTCTGCTAAGTCTTAATGTTTCCCTACACAATTTCAAGCCCCTAACCCCACATCTCACCCTGAGAAGGACAAGATCTTTGTTTTCTCAGCACCCTGAACCTATCTCTACTTTGCTCTTGATCACCTAATGCCTGATTCATTGTCTTGTCTTTCCCAACAGTGCTACGAGTGCCCGGCAGATGTGGAGATTTTGTTTTCCACATTTCTATCCTTAGGGGCTAGTGAGAGGCTTCAAAAGTGAATTTTATATAAATATATATGTATATATATATACACACACACATATCACATCAGATTTTAATGACTCTGATGGCTGAAACATCCACAAAAACACATTTAAAACTGCCTGAAATGAAAAACAGAATAAAAATGCCTCAGGTCTCTAAAATTTAAGAACACCTTAACCTATATATAGCTCACTATTCCCTCAACTGGGCTAAGTGTTTCTCTAATGATTCTACCTTGAGAGAGAAGCGAATAATAAGAAAGGTAGCTAGTGGCAGGAAATTGTTCGAACAATACAATTACTGAGACAGCCTGGTTAGTGTGCATTAGCCTATTCTACATCTTTAGAATTTGCCAAAAGTAATAGAAATTCACCCTTATGACTCACCTGGAAAGATCAGAGATCAAATTGAGTTTTCTCGACTCTTAAGAACAGTGAGAAAAGCATTTTAAGGAAGTCTCTTCCACCTGCTTTCCCTAGTCCTAAAAGAGGTGCCATAAAGCATTTAAAAAGTACATAAAAGACAGCTGTGAGTCATCTCATTCCTTGGACATTTGCTCTTCAGTTCACCAGAAAATACAATTAGCCAGAATGTATGACTAGCATGTAAACTCCTTAAGAACAAGGATTTTTACCTACCTTCTTTCCTACTCTAACCCCAGAAGCTTAGGACAGTGCCTGGCATATAGTAGTCATTCAATCAATGTGCGTTGAGTGGCGCTAAGAAATGAGTATTTGATCATTTCAATGAATCAAGGTTTTACTGCCTATTTGAGGCAGCTATCTTTTGACTTGTAAATAGAGATGTACATGCCAAAGATTGGGGGAAAAAAACCCTTACTCTTTCATACATGGAAAATTATGGCAGGCATGCACTCTGACCTTGGATTATGATATTCGACACTGGACAATAAATATATGTCCTTTGAAAATCAAGGTCATGAAAGGGGGCCTCCCTGATAGCACAGGGATTAAAGTCTCAGTGCTATCAAGCTTTCACCAGACAGTGCTGCATGAGTTTGGTCCCACACGGTGCAGCAGACCCCTCCTGTCTCACCCACTGCTCCCTTCAGCAGTGTATTTCAGTAGATCCACCTGTTCTGCTCCCCACTCTATCTCTAGTGAATCCACTAACTCCCTGTACCTCTGACCTATACCCCAGTTCTTCTATGCATAAATAAATAAAAATAAATTAAAACACAAAGAAAAGAAAATCAAGGTCACTCAGTTATCATCCAATTGGATACTCATGATGACCAAACTCATAAGTCATTGGATTCTGATCAATACCCAGTTCAGCATTAGGTCATTAGTGCTCATTAAAGTGAAGGCTGGATCACTGTGATCCTAAGAAATCATTTGAAGATTCTTTATATACCATCTGGATAAACAAAACCAAAGGACTTGTTCTTCCTCTAATTCTTTTCAAGGTTATACCTGAAAAACAATCAGGTGCTCCTTGAGTGCAGTTATCACAGCTCCTGTAAGCCTAATGCTGCCAATTTGCAACATTCAAAATAAACCAATGGAATTGCGTCTATGTATGACCACTCTAATGAATACGTGGGAAAGATCTAAGTCAAATGATTAAGCCCAAATTCATAATACATGCTTGATAAAAATACAAGCCAAGTTTTGGATCTCCTATTCTCCAATTTTATGTAATTTAAATGTTTCTCCTCTGCTTAAATCCTCAAGAATTTCCACGGCTGTCATAAATACTTAGAGCAATAATAGCAGCTCTGATTCTGCTGGTAAGAAGGAAGAAGAACTTGGCTTTCAGAGCTGAATTTATTAACTTGGGGTAAGGGGTCTTTAGCTACATCCCCAAAGCAGATAACCAAAGATGCAAAGGCACTTGTCCCCAAAGTCCTCAACTGTGATTAAAATTGGCGTCAGTAAGTGCCAATGAAAATTTATTTATTCCCGCATGTTCCAGATATTCTTAGCCCACAAATGCAGTAACACAAGGTGACAACTTAGTAACTGGAAAGCATCAGTGCACTTTTTAAATCAGAAGAGTGGCATCGAGCTCATTACTTTTTAAAATACCTTCTCTGAAGGATTCAGAGTATTTCAACAGCCCTCCAATCTTTGTGGGCCTCTATGCATGTGAGCAGGGCAGCTGGCAGTTCAGCCAATGGGAAAAGAGAGAAACAGGCTATCTGGAAAGGCAGGTGACTGACCCAAGGCCATGAAATGGTAATAGGTCATCCAGGAAAAAAGGTGGTTGTGCTCAGAGGCAGCTGAAATGGTGGTAGAAAAATAAGCTGCTCTCAGCTCTCTTCGCCTCTAACTGGGAAGCTTTCCCTCTAGTCTCCTCATTTTCACCAATCCTTTTGTTCATCCTGTTTCCCTCCTCACTCTCCTCTACCCCCCCTTCATTTGCCCATCTCTTCCTCCCTCACTCCAAACCCCCTGGCACCTTCCCTGAGTGACAGCAATGCAAGGAGGAAGGGAGAGGCCTGTCTTTCTTGATTCATGCTGTTCATCCTGGCCTCATAAACCTTTTTAAATAACTCATGGAGATGGCACTGTGATGGACTGGGATGGCTTTGGGATGCTCATGACTCAAGAAGATAATCACACTAATAAGAGGTTGAACAGGCAGACACAAACCCCGCCCTCTAAAGGAATGTCCCTGAAAGGCAGCAAAAGGGCCTTTTTCTGCTTATTGGGCAGAAAGGAAAGATGGAAAAGGATGTCCCCCCCCCCCAAATAATTCTACTGTCCAGGAAGCCTAGCATCCAGGACAGCTAAGATCAATGGATCCCAGGATGTACTGGGGATAGATGAAAACTTAGAAGCAGTATTAATGTTCTCCTTCCAGCCATACTTCTCATCAAGTCACTCCCCAACCTGAAAATCAACTCCTCAACTACTGGCCTTGGACTTAGGATAAAACATAGAATTCACTGCCCAATACCTGGTGACCCTGTCTTATTTTCTCATTGATCCTCTAGCTCTAGACCCTCCAGCATTTCTACACAGTATTTCCTTGACCAGCTAAATCCAAATCTGAAATTTCTGCTTCTAAGTCTATTCTTCCAGGAAGATTTCCCTGATTCCCACCTGCCCACTAATTACAAACCCTCACCACCTATCTTGGGCTGGATCTCATTGCAGGTCCCTCCAGTTCAGGAAGAGGTCTTCCTTAAAAGGAACAAGCTCCTCACCCCACTAATCTTGCTAGGTCTTCATTGGGTATGCTCTTTTCTTTTGAACATCTTACTTTTAAATATCTTCAAGCACACAAAAAAGTCACAGGAATAGTTCAGAAAGTTCCCACGTATCTTCATCCATTCTTACTATC